TAGTTTAATGATTTAATTTTGTTTTGTATTTAGGTGCAGTTGTTTCTACAATACCACAGCCGTCAACAGCAAGATTAACATTAAATAATAATGTATATCTCTTTAATACACAAAATTATACGTGGATTAACACTTTTGATATATCAAATATAAATGGAACAAAAAGTTCGAATTCAAATGACCCAGGAGATTCATTCTCATTAGGCGCAAAGATTGGTATTGGTGTAGGTGCAGTGGCTGGGTTTTTTATCATAGTGTTCACAGGATTTTTGTTTATAAAAAAGTTTGTAGATATTATAATAGTCATTGGCCTATTGCAACTCCTGGTACAGTATAAGCAGAAAATTCAGAGAGACCTTTCTCAGAAAATACACGAGACCTGCCTAAGGATATACACAGAGACCTATTTAAATTCACCATATTAAATACACTACTTCTCTAAATACGCACTCAAGTTCTGGATAAATATACGCTTGATTCCTAATCTGACTGTATATAATTTATTAGGTGCATATTTTCTTTTATAATTACTTACAGTGTGTAATAGTGGTTATTAGAGATGATAAAAAACGTTGTAAACAGTCAGTTTTTTATGCTTTTTTTATTGTTTTAAAAAGGGTTTAAAACATTAGCTGTTGATATTAAAATTTGCTAACACTGAAACTACTGAATCTGATTTGTTAATTTTAATTTTGGCAAAAAAGTATTCATTTTAAAATTATTTATATACTGCTCCTGATGGGTTCTAAAAAGGGCTTCCAAAATACTATATTGCTATAGCGAAAAATTAGGATTAGAGTTGTTTTAGAACCTTATCAGGGACAGTACTCGAATAAAAATTTTTTTATCAATACTAATTTATTATATTTTAAATACTTAATTTACCTTTCAGTCAAGTATTCTTTCTGTACTCAGTACTACATTTTGTTGGTATTGAAGCCAAGGCTTACATGCATATATATGTTGTAAGTAGAAACAGAATTTATGTAAATTTAGAATTTCTTATAAATTATATTTTTGGATAGAATTTATTTTATACAAATCTACAATTTAAACCAATTCAAATTCCATTCAACTTACAATATATATAAATTATTTTGCAAAATGTTACTGTAATAAATATCATTAAATAAGTTCTTGGAAATGAACTTCTTGAAAATTATAATTTATCTTTCTTAAGTTCGTCGTCATCAAACCAACCATGTTTTTAATTTCTTTCTAAATTTTCGAATTTTGATAAACTGCCAAGTTTATAGTCCAATTATTTGTTTGAGATTTGTGAGAGAATTCTCGTTCAGGTTGATGTCGGGACAATCTAACCCAAATTGGATAAAATATGCCAAATCTGCCACAAAAGGCAGATATGTCAGATATGTCATATGTCAGATAGGTCATATAAAGCAGATATGGTCATAACAGTAAGGTATAAAATCAAACATAATATATGAAGTTCATTAATTTCGGATTCATTAATGGTTAAATTTCGCGTCAGCTAATCCTAATGCAAGGTCTTATCCCGACAGCCAAAATCTCGACACCCAAAATAAAATTCCGATACCAAAATCCCAATACTAATGGGGAAATTACAAATAAGGGCCCAAAATTGAAAATAGTTACAAATAAGGGTCTACTTAATACTATAACATCATCTGGTTTAACTTTATTCTTATTTTATTTATGCTTATTTTTATTAAAATAAATTATATGTATTTTCTGTGTAATACATTATCTTAAAATCTAAACTCTATATTAAGCCTGAATGTCTATTAAAAGTCTTAATTAAAATATTATCATATGTTTTAACATAAATTCTATAAAAATCATATTATAAATTCTATAAAAACCTAATCATATATTTAACATAATAATATCATATATTTAACATAATGCAGTATGAAGTAAAGGAAATATCGTTCTATATATATAAACCATAAAGTGTAAAATAAGTCATTTGTTTAAAAAAACAACAGACATAAAAAATAATGTACTTACACGTAATTTGTGTTGTTCCTCAATTTTATTATTATAAAAGTCTAATAAAATGCGCATTTTCAAAAATTCCATAGTTTATAATCTAGAGATTTCGATTTTTTAAACTACTTAAATAAAGGTTAAAAGCATCATT